GACCAGGCAAGGGACATAGAGTGATCACCCTGATCTCTTAGAACATCACTGGTTGGAAGCCCCAAAGGTGCTTACTTCTAGGTCTTAATCTGTAAATATGATCTTATATTATTACAGGAGACTTGGTGTCCAGAGCCCCATTTCTAGTACCACAAATTTTTTTACAGCGGTATCAAACAATGTGTTGTTCCCTATTATACAACCGGAGTTAGCTACGGTTAGCTAGGGTCAATTTAGCCCAGTGCAATACTCTAATCATAGATGTGGACGTTTTGTTTTACTAATCATGGATTGCAATAAAGTTTTACATACAGGTTGCTGCTCTTCATCACAGAGGCAAATCAACGACTGTTTGCACAGGGCACCTTATTTGATTAGTGAATTGACTGTTTTGTGGGATTACACACGACATTAAATATTAAACTAACCATTGTGGATTTGCATAACACACTAAGCTACCAAACAAACAAAGAAATTAGCATGCAAATGCAGTAAATTACTTCAGTTAATCAGCTGCATAGTTGAAAAGGACTTGAATTAAACCAAGTTAAGTTGCCTAATCTAGCATCCTAAGCACTAGATCACTTGCTTTACAGATGTGGCTCACGTTCCAGATCTGATTAACATCACAAGCCATTTGGAGTTTATTACTGACATAATTGGCAAAGGGAGAATATGACTTCTTCTGTATGTGTGTTGCAACTTATCTAGGTCAGTTTCATGAAGAATATCTACATATCTATGTGGTTGTTAAAGGTCAACATCAATCTGATGGCACGTGCAATAATCAATCAATTAAAAAAAAATAGGTTAATTACCTCCTGCTATATACATCTGCTAAACTTGTTTTAATCTTTTTCTTTTAAACTGGTTTATTATGTTGGGTGAACTCCGCCCAACTGGTTAGTTTCTGGTTCAGTAGGTTGAATCCTAAACCAAACTGGGTTCTTTCAGTATTCAAGGTAAAAATGTGTGGACACAGCCTATAAGTGGCTAGGTGTCTTATCTTATAAAGTTATCTTTATCTGAGTTTCATTTTTCTTATTGAGTTAGAGTTATTTGAGGTGTGACTCTTCTCTTGTTAAAGTTATTTTAAAATGAAAAGCTATAATAGAACAATATCCAAGACTTTTCTTCCCTGGCATAGCCTGGATTATTCAGGGGTAGCCAAACTGGACAAAAGAAAGAAAGAAAAGAAAAGAAAGAACTTAAAGAATAAAACAGCAGAATAAGTGATACAAAAGAAAAGGCATACAATTTTTCTTGGCTATGTTGAATATTTATGATGCAGTGCACACCCTGGCCCTGTTCACATGACCTACTCATTCCTTCTCCTATCAGAAGACTTACTTTTCTATGTCAGCAGCTCACAGTCTCAGATGATGCATTAATCACTTCCCCACTGTTTGCTTTTTTTTTTTTTTTAATTCCTCTGGGTAGTAAGGAACCAAAATTAAAAAATCTGTAGCAGAGTGATTGGTGTCGGGGCAGTTGTAGACAAATTTAAGGAAACATACTCAACGACAACCATTTTAGCTCCTCAGAGAGGGGGAGAAGTCAACCACCCACTGGGATGAAATCCCTACAGAAGATTCATTTCAATCTCAGGTGAGTCAACTAACTCCCAGTAAACAGTTCACATGATTCAGGGGTTAGCTGACCAAGAAGGGGCCAAGAAAGTCAGTTTAGCTCCAAACAAGACTGGGTTTGTTTGGAGCTATGTTTAAACCCTCTGGTTTAATTGCCTGGGTCAAGGACCACTGCTTAGAAACTTATCTGATTTTTTTCTCCTTGGATCCTGCTAAATGAGTTGTGTCATTTAACATAATGCACAACATGGAGCATACTTCTGATCAAACAGGAAAGGCAACAAAACAGGAGTTTCTGCTTTTTGATCTCATCTTCTACTCCTCACTGTCAAGCAATAAGATAAGGTGCCTCCTTCTTGCCCTCCAGAACCTCTGCTCTACTTGATTTGATTTGACTTCACTTGTCATTTGATTGGTTATGCCACCATAGCAACCAATTTTGCAAAGAGACCATTTCCCCCCTCCATGGCAACCACTGTATGTACCCATGGTTATTCTCAAAATTCCAAATCTCCTCACTTGTTGAAAGCAGATTGTTGATTTCTGCAGCAACATATATACAATTAAAAGTATGATCACCGATATAATCTACATTTAGTATTCCTTTCAGCCTTCATGATGGAGCAGTATTAGATTTGTTATACCCCACTTAACATCCTGAAGCAGAGATTGCAACTGTGTCAACAGCTTCACAGGCAGATTCTTTCTAGGTCAGCCTTCCCAAAGCTGGTGTCCTTCATCACATTTGAAACTTCAACTTCCATAGTTCTCAGACTATACTTTCTGGGAACTATGCTGGCTGCAATCCAAAATATCTCAAAATCATCAGTTTAGGGAAGGCTGATCTAAATGTTAAGGCAAGACGTTCCTGTTGGAGCCATAGAACCATGTTCCTTAAAGATTATAGGGCCACTTTTCAGATGCCTGAAAGACTGTTCCATGAGGCAGAAGCTGTTGAAGGTGGAAGCATTCTCTGTGTGTGTGTGTGTGTGTGTGTGTGTGAATATTCCTGAAGGTGGGAATCTGATCTGAGCCATGATTAGTGAAATACATTTTACAACTATAGCAAAAAGGAGATTTAGCTATAGGAAATACATTGTAGAGATAGGCAAAGACTAGAACCTAGTGAATTACATCCTGCTCTGCACATGTGTTCCTGGAAAGAAAGCCCTAACCTCTTAGACAAAGAAGAGACAAAGACAAAGCGTAAGTCCATAATTCCCTACCTGTGCATCCCTGCCTCTTGTCAACAGGTCATGAAGTGCTGTTAGAAGTTCACACCTCTAGCAGAAACAAATATCTTAGCATCTGCTTATTCTAATGGGAAGTGAAGTATGTTTTGGCTGATTGAGGATCAATGTGCCAGTTTGCTTGAGAAGGAAAGAATCTTTCTCTGGCAGGAGATCTTCTGACAGCAGCTAAGTAGACAACCATAGAAGAACTGAGCCAGAAAATGTACTAGATGGCCTTCAGTCCTCTCAACTCTGCTAGAAGGATGGCTGGATTATCAGGAGGAAGCCATGGCAAGGGGGTTCATCTAATTCTGGCTAGTACACCAGCTAAGGCCATACCTGGACCAAGATGCTCCAGTGACAGTGACTCATGCCTGATCACCATGCAGCTGGACTTGTAATGGTTGGCTCCAAGACAGATGAAGTTTCAAGAGACAGTTATATTAAGAACCATCTGCAAGTTCCTTTATTAGGAAAGACCTAATAAACACACACACACACCGTGAAAAGACACCCCCCCCCTTTTACTCATTCACTCACAGAAAGATAGCTATAGAGAAAGCACTTCCAAAGAATGTACTTTAGAATATATTGGTTTTAGAAGGGGAATTCCTGTTGGATTTCTTGTAACTCCATCCCTAAAGGATGCTAAAGTGACTCTGTGCTTGGAAAAGAATCCTTTTTGGTGTGAGATATTTGCCAAAGGGCCTGAAAGGACTGTAGCAATGGACTTTTTATGGAGCTCCTTTGAAGACAACTCAAAAGTTACAACTTGTCCAGACTGTGGTCCAGGCTACTAGCTGGCTTACACCAAATCTTCAGTTGCTGCACTGATTGCCAGAAGGTTTCCAATCCAACTGAGGGCTCGTCATTACATATAAAGCCCTATATTGTGTGGCCCTGGGATATATCAGGGGCCATCTAACTAGACAACATGCTGTCCATCCAACTGAGTAATCAAGAAGGGCCTTCTGAGAATCATGCCCACACCAAGAAATGTACAGGGCAGGCACATGATTATAGCCCTTTTTATGAATAGCCCCCATTCTCTGATTATTTATTTTATATCATCTTATTTGTGTCCTTTTTTGTGTTTGCTTAATGTGCATCACCCAAAGGCCTACTGAGCAGAGTGGCATACAAAACTGTAAACTAAATGAATAGAAATAAATATTTGGAGGCATGCACCCCAATCCAATAGTGAGGCTTCAAGATGAATAGCCCTTGATAGATCTCTCTTGAATTTATCTAGTCCCCTTTCAAAACCTTCAGGTTTGTGGTCATCACATCTTCTGGCCATGAATTCCACTGCATAAAGAAAGACTTTCATTGCGTGTTGCATTTGTCTGATCTGGTCTATTGCAAGTCTTGGGAAAGATTCTCGCTGAAAGGTTGGTGTCAGTGAGAGGGTAGATTTCCCATCACAAGCTATGGCACAGGAGGAAGTCCTCTCATGGTTAAATGGGGGGGGGGGGCCCAGATCTGTTGCCCCCTCCCCCAAATACATGAAACCAATAGCAGTGGACTCAGTACATGGTGATAGCTTCAATAAATTCATGGGATATATCTAGTTCTAGGACTTAAGCTGGGCCTCTGTTCAATTTGGCCTATCTAACGAGGGATTAAGGAGAAGTAAGGGGACTGTCAACAGGCCCTTAGGACATGTCTTCACACTCCTGTCTTCTCAAAAAGAAAACTGCAAATAAACAACTTTTGAATCAGAAGGTGAAAGAGAAAGACTCTTGGTGGTACAGACAAACATTCTCTTTATTAAGCTACACATGAATTTTTCCATTAGTCAGAGAAAGAAATTGGCAGTGTCTAATAGATCACAGAAACCTCACCAATTGGTAATAGAAAGGCTTAGAAAGATCTGGCATTTTTAGAGATGTGTATAAGTTGTGTGTGTGTGTGTGTAGTTTTCTTCTGTATTTTTTCCAGATTTTAATTGAAGAGGATGCAGTTGGCTTTTTCCAGCAAAGGTACTTCTTAAAAGTGAAACGTGAAGACCTCTGATTGCTAATCAGAGTAGAAATGACAAAACGTTGGTCATGAAAATGGTGGCTTTTTAAATAATAGAAACACTACATTCGATTTTGTTTTTCATATTTTTTTTTCATTTTTTGTTGCTTTTTATGTATATTTTTAGTTTTTTATATTGTTTTTCCTAGTTTTTTTGTCTTTTTTTGTTTGTTTTTGCAGCATGAACACCCCCACATGAGAGAGAGAGAGAGAGAGACAGAGAGAGAAAACAGTTAAGGAATACTACCACCAAACATCGGAAGAGGTGAAGGGAACCAAAAGCATGATGAAGAAATGGGCTCACAGGGAGTATGGAAACTTTAAAAAATAAAATGAAATCAAATTCAGGGGGTGGAAGAACAAACAATTCCTCCCAACCCAATTTAACCCATTTCAAAAAGAGACTGAAAATGGGTATATGATACAGAGTGTCCCTCAGAGCAGAAAAAACATCAGAACAAGATCACAGAGATAATTTTGGCCCCTTTAGACCAGTGACAGCTGTGCTTTTTTATAAATTAAATACAAAAACCAGAGAGTAAATGAGACAAAGCAGAACAATCATTATTAAACCCAAAAGGAAAATGTACCCCGTTTTGTTGGCCTGTCCTGTTGGCCTCTCCTAATGTGATTGTTGTACACAAGAGCATTCGGGAGGAATTTCATGGGGTGGGGGGGAGTTGCAAATATGTATAGCAATGATCTGACTATGAAACTAAACCTGGGTATTTTCCACTGGTGTTCCCTGGCCATCTTAGTGCATCTAAACATATCACTATCAACTTTCCAGTTAACCGCCAGGATGAGGGAGATGTGTTGGTCATTGTGCCTCCCTTTCCCCATGCCCCGTGGACAAAAAACAGCACCTGTTATGATGGGGGGGGGGATTGGGAGGCAAGACCAAGAGTCCCATAACTTCTGGGTCTTTTGCTGTATTCTGCATACATGCAAACTGACTGTTACAAGGCAGGCAAGTCTGAAGCTCCCCTGGCTGTTTCCAAATAGCTTGTTCACCAAAGCAAAACAAGGTTGCCCCTTGTAACCATCAAGGCTCTGATCGGGCCATCACAACCAGCTCCAAGGGACGGTGCCTTCCTTAGAATTGGTTCACAACATTGCTGTGTTTATGTCTGTGTGTATGTGGAGAGAGTGAATGAGCAAAGGGATGCATATATGAATGTGTGCTTGGGTGTTGTTTGTGTGTGCGTGCAGAAAGGGCATGAGCAATCCTTCTGATCTTCCCCAGCATGCAGGGCAAGCAAATCTTTGACTTCTCTCTTGTTCTCTTTTTAATGGCTTTTTTGGGGTTGGCTTGTTGGGCCTCCTGAATATCAAGAGTTGGGTAAAGCCCTGTTTCACAGCATCTCACAAAACTCCTACCCGTGATGCCAACAAGGAAGGACATCAAGGTAACGAAAAAAGCCTGGGTCATCCTGGGGCTGAAGGATGGGAGCAGAAAGTCTATTCTAGAGAGACAGACGGAGTTAAAAGATGGTTTGGGCCTGAACACAAATGCTAGGTTGTGTGCATGGAGGGGAGACCCTAGGAGAAGCACTAAAAAGAACCCCTCCCAGAAGTAGAACCAAAGAATAAATTGCACACTAACTTTGTGATGCATTTCTCCTTGATAAGAACTTGGCCCTGACATCCAAGGGCAAATGTCTTCTCCTCGCTTTAAAGGCCAATGTTTTAGCTCCAACTTTCAAACCATTGATGGAACTCCTCTCTTTCTTGGTCTCCTGTGTGGATGTTAACCAAAACAGGAAACAGAAACTAAGCACCAAATTATCAATTTAGCTTGGGAAGAAACTGCATTCCACAAAGAAGGGATCCCTAACAGGTTAGGCTAGGGGTAGGGATAGGAGTAGGGGGTGGGCTGTCTGGTGGTCTCTTTATGGAGGGAAGAAGGGGAAGTCCGTGTTTCGTGCACATTTTTTCAATTGCTTTGCCTTCATTTGCTTTTAACCCTTCAAAAGCTGATGGAACCAACAAACTGGGAACTCTTGTTGTAGCGTACCTTGAAGACACATTTCCATAGATAGTGGTATCTTTAAAAATCCTTTAGAACTAAGGAAAAAAAAAGCCTTTCCTAAAGCACCCTATGCATAAATGACTTAAAAAAATAACATTGCTACTTTTTATTTTTACTTTTTTTTTTTTTTTTGCTAAAGAAAACTGATTCCTTTTTAAACTTGCAGGATAGTACATTCTTTAAAGATGCGGCTAGACATTTTAGAAAAATTAAGTGGTTCTTGGTTTATCACTTGGTTATTATCATTATTATTATTATTTTTCCTCTGTATTTCCTGAAGGAAAAAAAAAAGGGCTGAATTATCTGCCATTAAGTTACTTAAACAGGAAAGAAGAACTAAGTTCTTGATAGGGACCTTGGAACCCTTTGAGGCAAACTTAAAAAAAAAAAGTGTATGTGTGCGTCTGTCTGTATATTTGTTATGCCTTTTTATTTACCAACTTGCATGGTTCATTTTTACTGTGTATGTGTGTGTTCGTACGTGTGTGTGTGTGTGAGAGACTCGTACTTTGTTTTGCCTTTTTTTTTTTCAAATATTTTATTATATTTTATCCTCTCGCTGTGATTGTTTCCAAATATGCTGCTTGCTATACAGGATGGGAGGGAGAAAGGAGGGGGGGGGGTCAGTATAAGCCGCAGCCTCGTAGGTTATTGGCAATGATGATGTCGGTGACGGCATCGAATACGACCTGGATGTTGTTTGTGTCTGTTGCACAGGTCATGTGACAATAAATCTCCTTGTTCGGCGAACGGTTTTTGCTTTCAAATTGTGCTTGGATATACGCTGCTGCATCTTCATACGTATTAGGCCCTGTAGGGAAGGGAGATCATTTCAACTGGTTATTCATCACTGCATTCTTCCAAAAAGAAAAAAAAAGAGGGGGGAGTTCATTAAAATGACAACATGGTTGTGCAAAATAGGAAGTGCTTTAGCATACGGACACTGGTATGGCTTTGTTCCACGCTAGGCTGAAATGGGGTCTGGGAATTTGGGGTTCAACCCTGAGGGCCAAAAGAGGGAAGATGCGATTGTACAGCTGAAGCCCACCTCTTTTTACATTCTCATATCCCCAAAAGTGCAGGGCTTTGATTCCAAAACTCTGCTGCTATCTTACTTTTTGGAACCCCCTCTGCAAATGCCCCTGGCTTAACAAACGGTGGGAATCCAGCCATGGTTTTAGCATGTTGGGTGAAGCAGCCATTACGCTAAGCCGGTGTTTCTCAACCTCAGCAGCTTTAAGATGCGTGGATTTCAACTCAAGTGGAAGTCTGCACATCTTAAAGTTGCCGAGGTTGAGACACACTGCACTAAGCCATTATAAGGGACATACAGTAGTTTGGAGCTGAATATGTGGCATCAGGCGAGTTACTGAGTGTTCAGATTTGGGGGAAATAATAATTGTCTTTGTCCTTGAATTTATTTATTTATATTTCAAATTTAGATACCACCCATCTCACGAGAAAGTGACTCTATGCTAGCAGTCACTGAATATCCATAGTACCTACTATTAAACAGAGAGTCTCTATGTTAAGACTGAATTCAGCTGATGTCATGGCTGAATGTATTGGACTTATTTCTGTTTTTTCCCTGGTTTCTGTGACACTTTGTCTGATTATGGGTTCTGGAGAACTCAGACCCATGCACATTCTTTGGGACTATTGGTCATCATAAAAATATTGTCCGGCTAAGTGGCAGTACGTAACTGACTCTGAAAAACAACTCTGAAGAAGACAGCAGGAAACCATTCTATAGGTGTAGGTATAGGTATAGGTATAGGTATAGATATACATGTATGTGTGTATGTATGTACAGCATATGTTTATATAAATAAATTACATGGTTGTGTCTAGGGAGGCTCCAGGGAATTAGCTCAACCTGAAGGACTTTACTGTCAATACAAATATTATTCAGCTATGGATTTTAGATATTTTCTGTGGACCAGCATAACTGTGATTAGACTTTTTACAGATTACAAAGGGTATGATATAAAAGCATATCTCCTTGCCTGACTGCTAGAGATGCAGTATCTCTGACTGCAAGGATCCTGGGAAATGTAGTTTCTCAGAGGGCTTGATTCCTTAGTAAGTCAGATGACTTGGAAACCACCTGGGACAAAATTGTGAGCCTGCAGTGCACAGTCCCAAGTGTAAGAAACACTAAAATATGTAGTTTCCAGGGCACACGACAACTGCACTGAGGATCAGGGTGCCACGGGAAAATATATTTCCCAAGGATTCTAGGGTCTCAGACACAGCTATTTTGCAACATTCAAGGTATCAGGAAAGAAGTTTCCAACAATGTTCTCCTCTCCTCATTATCATCACCAAGGCAGTGAGAATTTAAGGAGTAGAGAAATATTCAGGGAAGCTATGGGATGGTGAATGGCATTTAGACCTCTGCACTATGGATGACCCTTCTGGGAATACAAACTGATCCAAATTTTGGAACTGAGCTCATAATCCCATCCCATCCTTTTGGAAAAATAGCTTAGTTGACTAAATCCAGTTCCAGTTCTTGAAGTGATGATCGATTGTTAGACCAATGACTGTATTCATACAAAATGCTAACCCACAGTTTATTTAATCGTGGTTTACTGAGCTCACCTAGCAGCCTAGGCTTGCATGTCACACTGAACCATTAACCATTGAACTAACCGTCAACTATATTTTAGCCTAGTGTGTTTGTAAATGCAGCCAGTATGTCAATGCAGCCTTCCCAGCTTGGCAGCTTCCAGATATGTTGGTCTACCGTGCCTAGATTATAGAGCCAGTATGGGAAAAACTGGGTTACTGTTAGTTGTGTGCAAAACTCATTGTCATGTCGATGGGCTGTTCCAGGGGACACTGGAATGCTTCATTTTCTCCCCAGACATGCCGGTCTGGCCATTTTAGTGGTGATCCAGTCATTTTCTGAAAGTGGTTTGTGATTCCAGATGTGATCCGGCCCCAGAGTGGATCCCACAAAACCATCGAACCATCTTTGGAATGACCAGATTGGTCTGTTGCAGAAGAAAAACAGGACTTTCTAGTGTTCCATCCCATCTAGTGAGCATTGCACATCCTAATAATGTTCACATATTATTTCAGAAATGAAAATCAGGGTATGTGTCTGTGCTAAATGCTGTCATCTTGTTCCAGTACAGTTTGTGCAAATAGGTTTATTTTTTTGCACAGATTCTCTGTAATACAAGGAAGCCCATCTTCAACCCCCCACATGTATTCCCTGACTAGGCCTCTGAGATGTGGCCACAACTCAAGTCATGCTGTGAAGCCAACTGAATTCACCTCATTGAAGTGAAGCAGTGATGTCATTTGCCCCATTGAAATTCTTTGTGTCACTCACTCTGACAGCCACCTCTGGTACAATCAGTAGCCTGAAAGGGGCTTTTAGCTGCAGAGAAGGCTGTCAAATCAATCCAAAGTGAAGCAACATGGCAACTTCGTTTTGTTCTCTAGAAGATCAGAGTTTTGTTGCTACACAAAGGTTAACTAAAGGCATCTTTGGCCTGAAGCATCACTGAAATGAAGCACCCCTTTGAATCTTTGCATGGTTCTCAAATCCAGTGTGTTAACACAAGACTAGAGCCTCTTTTCTTGGCACCCTGGGAGTTTCTTCATTACCATGAGTGGGGTTGGTGCTTCTCAGTGATTATGATAGAGGAGAGCAAACTTTTTAAGCAGCCAGCACTGGGATCTGGTCTGTTTTTGTACAAAGATGGATGTGCCAAAAAATCAACTTAGATATTTAAAAGATTGTATTCATGCTTAATCTCATGTTTAAAATCTCACTTGAGAATATAAAGAACCTGCAAGACTCGGCTATCTTATGAAATAAGGCTATTTTTAATTATATTTTAAAATTCTGGAGCCTTAGCCAGGTTAATAAGACAACGCCCAGATTAGAACATGTTAATATTCCACGGCACCACTGCAGCTCAGCCAACAGCTGGGTGGAAGACTGAGTATTCTCTAAGGCTGAGATGAGAGCCGTGATCATCTTCAGTCATCTTTCTGAATCAAATCTTTGAATTACTGAAATGAGTTGATGCATGAAATCAAACAGATGCCTTCAGAATGCTTAAAAAAGTCTTGGCTGCCATTCAGAGATTAAAGAGTCTTTTGCACTTGTGCAAACACACTTTTTCTGAATGGAACCCAAAGAACTGCAAATCCAAGCTAAATCATTTTTTTTCCCAAACCAAATTGTACATCTGAATTGGATTGATTCCCCTTTTTTGAACCAAATTGCACATTCAAAAGGGATTAAGGCTGTGTTGCACAATTTTAAAGAAATATCTCTGAAGCAGAGTTGAATTAAAAGGCCAGGATCTTCAGGCCATACTGTTCTCTAGTGTTTCAAGATTCTGCTTGATCAGCTAGGTCCAGTGTTCCTAGGTGTCTGGTGTAAATTGCAATGATGTCATGTACATTGTGACATATGTCATATGTTATGTCATTGGTGTGATGACGTCACCGTGCCTGAGATGTCAGTCCCCCTCCCTTGTGGATGCTTAGGTTGGGTTGTTTTGATTTTGCAATCTAGAGCAGTGTTTTTCAACCTCGGCAACTTTAAGATGTAGGGACTTCAACCCCCAGAACTCCCCTGCCAGCATACTGGCTGGGGAATTCTGGGAG